AACAAAGGTCCGTCTAGTCAAGGCTATGGTTTTTCCAGTGGTCATGTATGGATGTGAGAGTTGGACTGTGAAGAAAGCTGAGCGCCGAAGAATTGATGCTTTTGAACTGTGGTGTTGGAGAAGACTTGAGAGTCCCTTCGACTGCAAGGATCCAACCAGTCCATCCTAAAGGAGATCAGTCCTGGGTGTTCATTGGAAGGACAGATGCTGAAGCTGAGACTCCAATACTTTGGCCACCTCATGTGAAGAGTTGACTCATTGGAAAAGACCCTGATGTTGGGAGGGATTGAGGGCAGGAGGAGAAGGGGACGACAGAGGATGAGATGGCTGGATGGTATCACCAACTCGATGGGCATGAGTTTGAGTAAACTCGAGGAGTTGGTGATGGACAGGGAAGCCTGGCGTGCTGCAATTCATGGGGTCGCAAAGAATCGGACAGGACTGAGCGACTGAACTGAACTGAAGGGAATTAAGTGAATTGACTAAAGTGTAAGTGAAAGTGAAGTTGCTCAGTTTTGTCTGACTCTTTGCAACCCCGTGGACTATAGCCTACCAGGCTTCTCTGTCCATGGGATTTTCCAGGCAAGAATACTGGAATGGGTTGCCATTTCCTTGTCCAGGAGATCTTCCCGACCCAGGAATTGAACCTGGGTCTCCTGCCTTGTGGGCAGACGCTTTACTGTCTGAGCCACCAAGGAATCAGCCTAGTGAATTCAAATCAGTGAATTGACAAGTTGAGTCCAATTATCTTGGTTACTTTTTAGGAGTATTGAACTGTTAATGTTATGGCAATAAAATGAGTGTTGTGCATGTCACTTCAGTCCTGTGCAAATCTGTGTGATTCTCTGGACTGTAGCCCACTGAGCTTCTCTGTCCTTGGGATTCTCCAGGCAAGAATACTGGAGTGGGTTGCCATACCCTCCTCCAGGGAATCTTCCTGACCCAGGGATCGAACCCACAGCTCTTATGTCTCCTGCATTGGCAGGCAGGTTCTTTACCACTAGTGCCACCTGGGAAGCCAGCAATACAAGAATTGATACTAAAAATTATCCTGAAACAGCAACATAAAACCTGAATTGTGTTCAGAATACTTTTGGGTAGAGTGTGAAGTACAGTTCAGAATTTCTTAAGAACTTACTATAATTAAGTTTGGATCATTCCCAGTTATCTGAAAGTTTTATTTAAATCAGAATGACTTCTTTCCTAACTACATGCCTACTGAATTTAAAAATATATATATATATATTTTTTGTTCTATGAAAAAAATTGCACAGTTGTTGTTTTATGACTGCCTAGTTATTCACCTTCAGATACATCTCCTTCATATTATTCTGTCTAGCTATGACAGGAAGAGGCCATGTTTTTTGAAAATCAGATTCCTTTCAGTTAAAATTTCATGTAATTACTAACATTTGAAGTTTTGCACTTGATTTTTAAAATAAAATTTAATCCAATTGGCATTTTTAAAGTAGTTGGATTTTAATTATTTATACTTAGTTTTTTTTTTTTTTTTTTTTTCCGGAAAAGTAAGTCTGTATGCTTTGGAACCTGTCATTTCCTTTTTTAGACAATTGTATTTCAGTTATCATAGAAACTATCTTCTATTTGGTTGATGATTTGTTTATAGGTACTTTGCAATGAGATGACAACTCGTTGAAATTGCTGAGATTTTATTTCTTCAGTTTTTAAATGGAGTAAGGAGTTAACAGTTGTACTGAAAGAGAATTATGTTTTATTAAAGTAAAACTTTAAAGGGTAATTCTTCATAACACATTAAAATAAAGCTATAAAGGGTTATTCATCATACCACATTAAAAACATTCCCAAACAAAATCTGCCACAGCGCCTTATACATGGCAGATGTTTGAGACATACTAAAATGCATGAATGAGCATTGAATTTAAGCTAGTTATCATCATTGTCATGGGGCCCTACCTACTGGTAGAGTCTTAGATGTCATTTATTTTAAAAATTTATAACTGGAAAATGTTAACCATTGTATACTAATTGTATTTATTTGTGTCTGGGATGCAGGTGGCGATAAAAATAATAGATAAATCTCAGCTGGATGAAGTGAACCTTGAGAAAATCTACCGAGAAGTAAAAATAATGAAACTGTTAGACCACCCTCACATAATCAAACTTTATCAGGTATGACTTAACTTTATACTTCTCCATGCTTCTCACATTCAGTACCCTATTTTACATCATCATTTTTCTCTTTTATGTTAGTTTTTTCAGTCTCTAAAAAGATAATTATATGCTTTTATTAATATGAATACTTCCATTTCTCTGTATTTAAAAATTAGGAAATAAAAACTACCAGCTTAATTTTAAGTTGTCTCTCAGACTGTAAGTTATTTAATTTCAAAGTCTGTAGTTGTGTGTTTATGATAATCTGCTTAAACCTGCTGGGTTTTGGTGGTGGGTGGTTTAATGGATACAACAGTTTTGCTTATTTAAAAAATAATGCTGTTTATGTTATATGAACTACAAAGGCTAAAATAGACTATTACTTAGTGACATACATTTTAATACCTAAAGTCAAGTCTTTATTTGAGGGAGGGTTCTTTTATCAGGTAAAGCAAATCATTCATTTAAAAAAAATTAACCTTACTAAGGTATAATTTTCATAAAATAAACTGCATGAGTTTCAAGTGTAAGCCATGTGTTTTAAAAGGAAGATTTTTCTCAGATTTCTAAAGAGTAATTTATGTTTAAGAATGGTAATGTAATACAAAACTTTTTATATTTCTATTCATTAATATTTAGAATTTTTATATTAGAAAACTATTGTTAAGCTAAAATGTTATAGTGTGCTTGCTAGTCAGTGACTTTGCTCTCCAAAGTGCAGTGTGTGGCCTTAGAGATGTGCCGTGCTCAGCCTATACTTGCTGTGGGAGCTGATTGTCAGATTTTCAGAAGTTCTGTGAGTCAGTTAACCTGCTAATAGCTCAAAATCAGCAATGGTAGGAGTATTTTTACACTGCAGAAATTGGTTTAAAAGTCAGAGCCTTTTTTTCCTTCAGTGAGCTAGTGCTAGCATGCTTTTGCTTGCATGCATGCTAAGTCACTTCAGTCACATCCGACTCTGTGACCCTATGAGCTGTAGCCCGCCAGACTCCTCTGTCCATGCGATTCTCCAGGCAAGAGTACTGGAGTGGGTTGCCGTGCCCTCCTCCAGGGCATCTTTCTGACCCAGGGATCGAACCCGCGTCTCTTACGACTCCTGCATTGACAGGCGTGTTCTTTACCACTAGCACCACCTGGGAAGTCCAGAACACTACGCTGTGCACTCAGATTGGTTAGCACAAGTGTCCCTCGGGGTATAGTAAAAAAAATTAGAACTTCCAATTCTGTTTATCTTTTTTATTTATCTCCTTGTGTTCCTTTTATAATGTATGTATTTATAAAATGCCACAGGTATACAGTTTGTGTCTCTGCATGTATATATTCATAAGTACATCTACATATACATTTATATGTATACATACATACATATACTTATTTGGCTTTATTGAGAGAGATTTCGAGTTTAAACCTGTGGAGACTGTTGGAGAGCATTTCTGCTAGCTGAGAATGAGACACTATGGTGTATGTACCACTCAAAACAATTCCTAAGCTTCTAAAACTGCAGAGGGCCTCTTAGATCAAATTTATATCAGAGTACTTCTCCCTTTAAGCTTTTTTTTTCCCCCAAAGAGGATGCTTGTAATAAACTAATCACATCCTTAGAAGTCTGATGAACCATAGCCCAAACTGAGGTTAAAACTACAGTGATTCTTCAACTGTACTTCAATTAATAAACAAAGCAAACAGACCAAAAGCTGCCATGATTCACCTGAGAATTCTGTGTTTATTTGACCTCCAGTAATCAGTTACATTAACTTACTGTCTGACTTGTTTAGACCCAAATTGTAGGTAGCCCTTAGTTTTCTAATAGCCTGTTTTAGGAACAGTCTTAAATCTGAATGTTAGAGCAAAATTGGTTTTTAGCCTTTCAGTAGATAGTAGTTAAATATTACATTTACTAGCATGTGCCAGTATGTATGTTCCTTTCTAGATTTAGAAAAACTAACTTAAATAAAAATGTATTGCAGTGGAACTGTGGAAGAAGATTTTGAACAATGTTTTAAAAAAACACTACTTTGTAAAAATGTGAAAGTGTAGTAAGAGGATTACCACACTGTGACAGATTAGCTAGGTTACAGGCCAGATTAACAGCTCTGTTTTATTATTCGTTTCTTAATCACAATCTACCATGTAACACAGCTAGAAAAGTCAGTGAGGAGGTTAAAAAGTTGCTCTCCAAAACTCCTGTTACCTATATCAGTATTTTTCAAACTTGAATGAGAATGATAGTCACCTGAAGATGTGGTAAAAGTATAAATCTGTGTCAGTAGGTCTGTCGTGGGGTCTGAGAGTTTACGTTTCTAACAGGCGTCTGGGCGGTGCTGCCGCTGCTGGCTGTGAACCACATTTGGAAGATGCACAATCTAGAGTTTTCACAAAAGTATTAGGAGAAGGATATTGTCATCACCAGCTTCTGAATGGTTCATAACTTGACACTTTTATTAGTTTTTTAATTTAGGTAATTCCATAGAGGGCTTCCCTGGTGGCTCAGTAGTAAAGAATCCACATGCCAATGCAGGAGACACAGGTTCAATCCGTGGGTCAGGAAGATCCCCTAGATAAAGAAATGGCAACCCATTCCATTATTCTTGCCTGGAAAATCCTCTGGACAGAATAGCCTGGTGAGCTACAGTTCATGGAGTTGCAAAGCATTGGACATGATTTAGTGACTAAACAACAACAATTTCACAGAATGTTGTAGTAAATAGCAATCTTTTCCTGTCAAACTAATATGGAGTTACTTATCAATAGGTAATGGAGACCAAAAGCATGTTGTACCTTGTGACAGAATATGCCAAAAATGGAGAAATTTTTGGTAAGCACATTTCTTTCAATCTTTTAATTTGAAAAATGTCAGTAAGCTTTTTGAATAGAGTATTTTCTATTAATTCTCCTGCTTGCTTAAAAGTTGCTAATGTGAATTAGAAATTTTAAAGTATTATTTTATAATAAAATATACAGTAAGCTAAAAATATGGAATATAATTTGCTCTCTTATATTTATGATATTAAAGCTATTGCTTAATTCTCTCATCTGTGTTAAAGAGATTGGAAAATCAAAGTTGAGGGAAATTTTCAGTCATACTGCAAAGGAGATTCATTTATCTTCCTTTTTACTTTCTTTACAGGGTAAAGATAGGTCAACAAATATTTATTGAGCCTGTACTATGTCTCAGACATTGTACTAGGTGTAGGGGATCAGTGGTGACCTAAATAACAGTCCCTGCTGTTGTGGGTTTTACGGTTTAGTAAACTGTTAACTTTAGCTGTAGGTCTCTGGGAAGTCACTAAACCTCTCTGAGACTCACAGTTTCTTTATTTCTTAATAAAAAGTATTTGATTAATTGGTTTGTATGATCCATTCTAACTCTTAAAAATTAAAACTATTTTATTGGTTCTAGCTTTCATCTATTTTATTGTTACTTTATGGAATAAGAACACCTTAAATAGTCTAAATATTTTGTTTTTTAACCTAAGTCCAAAATTGTTTTTGAAACAGCTTTATTGAGGACTTCACATACAATAAATTGTGTGTACTTAATGTGAACAATTTAACAAGTTTTCAGACACACGTGTGAAAGAAACCATCACCGCCATCAAGATAACTGTCACTTCCCAAAGTTTCTTCGTAATGCTTTGTAATCTCTCTTGCCCCACTTCACCACTAGGCAAGCACTGACGTGTTTTCTGTCACTATAGATTATTTCTTCTGCAGTTTAAAGGTACTCATGTAGTCTGTACCTTTTCTTCATCTGGCTGCTTTCTCTCAGTATAATTATTTTAAGATTTGTCCATTTAGTTGCACATATCAGCGTATCATTTCATTTTATTGTAGGTTGTATGCAGTTTTGTAAATACACCCCAGGTTGCTTATCCATTCGTGTGTGGATGGACATTTCAGTTGGCTTCAGTTTTTGGCTACTACACATGAATTGCTGTCAACATTCATGTATAAGTCTTTAACTTACAGACTACTTCAAATAATATTCACCACTGAACATGTAGTATATATTACTATGCTCAGTCACTCAGTCCTGTCCAGCTCTTTGTGACCTCATGGACTGTAGCCTGTCAGGCTCCTGTGTTCATGAGATTTTCCAGGCAAGAATACTGGAGTGGGTTGCCATTTCCTCGTCCAGGGGATCTTCCCGATCCAGGGGTCAAACCCACACCCCTTGCATCTCCTGCATTGGCAGGCAGGTTCTTTACCATTAGTGAGAACCTTAAAATAATATACTTCTCCTTTTTTAATTAGTTAATTAATTTGGCTGTGTCAGGTCTTCATTGCAGCACATGAGATCTTCACTGTGTCATGTGGGCACGTGGGCTCAGTAGTTGTGCACACAAACCTAGTTGTCCCATGGCATGTGGAATCTTAGTTGGACCAGGGATCAAACCCATACCCCCTGCATTGCAAGGCAAATTCTTAATCACCAGATCACCAGAGAAGTCCTTGGTAATATACTTCTGTCTAACACCTCCTTTCCTCTATTTTCTTGTCATGCATTTTATTTATACCTGTTTTATAAAACACAAAATGCAGTATCATTGTTTTTGTTTTAAAAGTTAATTATGTTTTAAAGAGATTTCAATATTTTTAAAACTCATACATTTACTAGTGGAGTTACCATTGACACATCTCTGAATGTGGATGCATGTTTTCTCATCTTTATTCTTTTATTTGGATACATACTTTTATCTGGCCTCATATTTCTTCTGCCTGAAGGACTTCATTTAACATTTCTTATAGAGCAGGTCTGTTGATGATGAAATCTTTCAGCTTTTGTGTATCTAAAGTAATTCTTATTTTTTCTGTTTTTAAACAACATTTGTACTGGATATGTAATTCCGGGTTGACGTTTTTCCTTCAGGGCTTTAGAGACGTTGCTCCACTCTCGTCTTTTCTGCATTATTTCTGATAAGAAATCTGCTGTCGTCTTTTTCCTTTGTATCTCGTATGTAAAGTGCCCTTTTTTTCCTGGCTGCTCCTAAGATTTTCTGTTTATCACTGTTTTTAATAGTTTGATTATGATGTGCCTTTGTATGGTTTTCTTCATGATTCTTAGGTTTACTGTTTGTTGCTTCTTAAATTTGTGTTAAGTTTTCATGAAATTCAGAAAATGTTCAGCCATTATTCTTCTGACCTTTTCTTCAGAGACTCCAATTACACATATATTAGGCTGTTTGAAGTCCTCCCACTGCTCACTGATTCTAATTTAGAAAATTCCTCTTTCTCTCTGTAGTTCATTTTGGATAGCTATTATTATTTCTATGTCTTCAAGTTATTTAAATTCTTTAGCTATTTGTTTCAACTAGAAGCTTCTTAACTGATGTTTTAATTGAATTGTGTGGGCTTGAAGCCAAAATAGTCTAGTTTACAATGCTGGCTACCTCATGTTAATTGTCTTTCAAGAAATCTTTATTGAAAACTGACTGTATACTGCAGGCTCTTCTTTGTGGGAAGAATTCCCCAATAAGGAAAACAGACAAAAATTCCTTATCTCAGGAACCTTATGTTTTATTGTGGGGAGAAAGACAATATGCAAAATAAGTAAATTGTATATAGTATACTGGGTGGTAGTACATGCTATAAAAATAAGAAAGAAAGGAAGGGGGCATGTGGAGTGGGAGAGTTGTTTCGGTATGAGATAGAGTGGTCAGGAAAGGCCTTGCTGACGTTTGAGCCAAGACTTGAAAGCAGAGTCGTGTAGATGTAGGGACATGAGAGTGATCCCAGCAGAGGAAAGAGTAAATGTAAAGGGACTGAGGCAGCAGTGTGTTTGGCGTGTTTAAGGAGGAGCAGGGAGGCTGGTGCAACCGGAAAGCAGCGAGCAAGAGGGAAGAGCCAGCAAGCAGGGCCAGTGGGAAGGTCAGACAAGATCAGAAAGGTAGGCGTGAGGCAGCAGTGGGGCAGATCTGGGGGCTTTGCAGACCATGGAAGGACTGTGATTCTTACCTTCAGTAAAATCAGAGAACCATTAGAGAGGTATTTGAGCAAGGGAGTGATTGCACCTAATTTATATATATATATGCACGCACACACATTTTTTTGTTGTTGTTGCATCCCAGAGCTTGTGGGCCAACAAATATCTGTATAGTCAAAGCTATAGTTTTTCCAGTAGTCATGTATGGATGTGAGAGTTGAACTATACAAAAAGCTGAGTACCAAAGAATTGATGCTTTTGAACTGTGGTGTTGGAGAAGACTCTTGAGAGTTCCTTGGACTGCAAGGAGAGCAAACCAGTCAATCCTGAAGGAGATCAGTCCTGAATATTCATTGGAAGGACTGATGGTGAAGCTGAAGCTCCAATACTTTGGCCACCTGATGCAAAGAGCTGACTCATTTGAAAAGACCTGATGCTGGGAAAGATTGGGGGCAGGAGGTGAAGGGGACGACAGAGGATGAGATGGTTGGATGGCATCACCAACTCAATGGACATGAGTTTGAGCAAACTCTGAGAGATGGTGAAGGACAGGGAAGTCTGGCGTGCTGCAGTCCAGGGGGTCTCAAAGAGTCAGATATGATTGAGCAACTGAACAACAGCAACAAGAGCTTGTGGGATCTAATTCCCCAACCAGGTATCAAACCCATGCCCCCTCATTGGAAGCACATAGTCTTAGCCACTGGACCACCATGGAAGTCCCTAAGTTAATATTTTTAAAGCATCACTGGCTGCGATGAATATAGTAGTTAGCAATAGATAATAGTGAGCAAGGATGGAAATGGGAGCCCAGGTAGGAGAGATAATGATGGCTCAGACCAGGGTAGAAGGGCACATGGTGCTGAGTATGCTAATGGTATGTTTTGGATGAGTAGAATCAGTAGGATTTCTTAACAGATGAAAACCACCCAAGTATTGAATATGATTAGGAAAGAGACCAATGTCTCATCCCTGAGGCAGTCATACATTAAAAATTTGGAAAAATAGGAAGAGCCAGCGAAGAAGAAGAAAAGAAAACCAAGAGAATGCAGTGTCCTGGAAACCAACACATGAAGAAAGTGTTTTCAGGAGGACAAGGTGAGCATCTGTATCAGATGCTGCTGGTAGACAAGAAAGATGAGGAGTGACGTTTAACCATTGTATCTGGCCCTTGGTAAGAGCAGTTTTGGTGGAGTGAATTGGCCACAGGTATGTTGAAGAGCAAATGAGAGAAGAAAACCGGAGAGAGCCAAATACACAGCTCTTAAAAGGATTTCTACTTCACAAAGAGAGGAAAAAAGGGAGGGGGAAGGTAGTTGAGAAGGGCGCTGGGTCAAGGGAAGGACTTTGAAGTCATTATTCATTGGAATATTTTTTTCAAGCTTCAGGCTGCAGTTTAATCGATAAACTAGGCAGAAATGGCTATTATGTGTTAGATGTCATTTTTATAAAAATGGAAAATTCTCAGTTACTCCTTCTTGCTAAGACCTTTGATGATTAAAGTTGGGTCACATTGTTTTATATAAATTGAAGCATAGTTTTGAGATTTTTGATGTATAAAGTTTTATTTTGAATGTAAAATGGCCAGAGTAAATACGGAAGATAAAACACAGTAAGCTGTAGATTTAAGTAGTTGCAAGCAAAGCCAGTTTCTGATGTGGTGCCCACGAGAAGTGAGAAGATGCAGTCCATAGAATATTAATCAAGTAGTGAAAATATATGTATAACATTCCAAGTAGATTCTGAGCTGAAAATTTTTTCAGTCTGTTTTAGATGACACAAATGTAATGTTCAACTGTGTATTAAGAACTATATGTTAAGATCTATTGTTCATGTTTATTATGTTGAGGTTACTCTTTACAAATACACCTTTAGTGCCTCCTCTATGCTGGAGG